TTTAACATTTTTATACCTGTGTCACTCCAGAAAATACTTTCTCATCAGAATCCATCTTGTACATTTATAAATCTACCATTCATCCGTGCATTGAATATCGTTGCCATATTTGGTACGGTGACCCTGCTGTACATCTAGATATTCTTGACAAAATCCAAAGAAGGGTCTGTAATGTAATCGATCCTAACCTCTGATGAGCTTTTTTCCCTGATGCCTCGACTCATCAATTTAAACGTGTTACTAGATTGGCAATTAGGTCTCACCGTTTTACTGTTGACCCTGTTAGACGCAGACGCCACTTCTACCCTTCTTTTCTCGCACTTCCCACCTGTAGAGTTCACTTCCGATTTCATGCTTACCTGATAACTACAATATTCAAAAATTTAAATGCAACGTCAATCGCCATCTTCTGTCTTCTTGAACCCCGTTCCTTTTTTTGTCCTTTCTTCAATCCTCCCCATTCTCAATCTTCACACTCTCACTTTCACTCCCTGTAACCGCCATCCTCGTTCTAGTGACATTGTCGCTTTGCTTGGGGTGAAACGATAAAAAAATAAAATAAAAATAAATAAAAATATGAATACTCTTAGGGCATTCCATGCAGAATGGAATTGTGAATTCTTTGCGCCAAGTTGTCGGGATTTTTCACTTCATTTTCTCTTCGAAAAATATACATGCATACATAGCTTTTTGGTTTGTTCTTTCAGCTTTGTTTGCGGGAAACTACTCCAAGAAATGAATGAATCCCAGTAAATAGTGCCTCGTGAATCGTAGAGTTGCCAATTCGTTATTTAGTTTTGAGTCATGAATGAATAAATCTCGTATCATTAGAAAAGGTTAAAAACATCAATTAATGATATCCGACGATCTCCAATGATCTTCCCGCCGTTTAAGGATTAAACTAATCCTGATAATTTAGGAAATAGCCAAATCCCGTTCACGGACCGATAACAACAATCATGAATAATTAATCTGATACAATCGTCATTACGATTTCTTCTGGGTAACCTCTGCCTTGAAGATAGATAGATAGATAGATAGATAGATAGATAGATACGATCGCAGACATTTATGGACATGGTTATGCAGATAGAAACTGAAAAATAGAACTGTTATATACCGTACCTATGAACACTAATAGGTATGTCGCAATCCTCATAAATACGTTGGACACTACTGTAAGTGCGAGTAATATGCTGTCTAAGTAGTCCATCATTAGCAGTGGTTTACCTACTTCACGCCGCTGGCGAGTATTGTATTTTGTTGATGTTATAAAGATTACCCTTTTCATTTCCAACCTCCGTTTTGGTTATTCCTCATTCAGTAACCCTTCCAAGGTTACAACAAGAACAGAAGCTAAATATTTTCCTGGGAGTATAAAATATTATTTTTTTGTATTGTGTTCTTCTACGACACGTGATCAGTAGTCAACTTCTTTTTATAATTTCTGAAATTTCAACGAGAGAAAAATTCTCCAATTTTTGGGGGTATGCTATAACAGGAATTTTCATTAGCTTCACAACCTGCCGAAGCTGGAAAGAGGACAGTTATTTAATTTTCTCTACCTTGCTGGCTTTCAATTTTTTAGCCTGGGCTGCAAAATACCGGATCCAAGTCTCGACAAGTCGATGCGACTTAAACATCATATCGGCGATGTTATATTATTATTTCACTACAAACGGGCATATAAAAAAGTGTAGTAGGAAACGAAGACCAAGAAAAATGAATGGAATCGCTAATCATTGCAGCCCAGAACAACAAGTCAACATAATACGCTTGTTTGTGATCACCAAACATCAAGGTTTTTCATTGAGATATTTCAAAATGTTTTTGTTAAATCTTCACAGTGTATCCAGTGAGCTTAAACTTTAAAAAATGCTCAAATCTTTGGATGATATAGTTTGCTTGACGCAGATAAAAATCCTCATTGGCAAGAAATAATATTTTGTTGAGAGTGAAAGCTGAAAAAATAAAGAGAGCGAGTTATATCAGTATTGAGAAGAATCGGTTTTGTAGAGTTATCTACCTTTTTTATCTTCTCTCTTTCTATTTCTTTCTCTCTTTCTTTCTGTGTGTGTGTGCGTGAGAGAGAGTGTGTGTGTGCATCGGTAGGAGATAATCATTGTGAGTGTGAGAACAAAATGACAGAAGAAAGAAAGAGTGAAAAAACAAGAGAGAATAAATGGAAGAGAGAAAAATGGATTAAAGAGAAAGTCTAAGAAAAAAAAGGGAAATATAATTGAATAAAATAAAGGCAAAATAAAACGAGTTAAGGCAAAAAATAAATGTGTTTTTAGGGCTTATCAAGATTTTGCGGGTTATTTAAAGATGAAACGTAATTTTAGATTGTAGGAGTAATTATTTTTGCGCTTGAATATTATATTAAGATTTTGAGAATAATACTTTTCTCGGATACAAGCTTTACAATTTAATCCATAGCTGTGGGATGGAAATGGATTCATACAATTCCAAAGGGTATTTGCGTGTAAGGGAAGGTAACAAACCTGACTGGAATTCGAACTCGGTTCTCCGATTTCTCATTCTGTGTCACGAACAGTGAGGAACAAATGTATATTTATTCTAAACTCTGTTATTTTACATCGAACATTGTTTAATTTTTGCCAAAATTACTTAATATGCGGCGCTGTTTAATGTGTGTGTGTGTGTGTGTGTGTGTGTGTGTGTGTGTGTGTTTGTTTCGTTGAATATGACGGACAAGGATTTTCATTGAGGTTTTCTTAGAATTTTGAAATTGCCCCCCCCATATATATATATATATATATATATATATATATATATATATATATATATATATATATATATATATATATATATATACGGGACTTTGAAAAGTTCTCAGTCCGACTAAGGAGTGATTAAATAAAATCCTGATTTTGATCATTTGGCTATATTTTAGGAATGTGACTTTTTCAGTGCCCATAATCTATATACATATGTGTTCAGATTGAAAAAAATGGAAGCAACATATAGATAACTTTTCAACACCTCTATTCTGTGTGTGTGTGTGTGTGTGTGTGTGTGTGTGTGTGTGTGTGTGTGTGTGTGTGTGTGTGTGTGTGTGTGTGTGTGTGTGTGTGAGTAAGTTGAAAAAGAAAGATAAAGCGGAGACAGACAGAGAGAAAGAAGAAAACGGTGAGGGAAGAAATTAAAAGGATCGAGTAAAAGAGAAAAAGTAGAAAAATGAATGAATAAATAAATAAATAAATAAATATAGATAGATAGATAGATAGATAGATAGATAGATAGATAGATAGAAAAGCCAAAACATTCAAATGATATATTTAACTAGCTTTGTGTAGCCTGGCACAGGGTCATATAATTATTGCACTCAGTGGGGAGCACTTTCAAGAGATTAGCAATGGTGTACGTAACATTAGCTTTGTGGTAAGAGTTCACAAAAGAATTGCGCTAAGGCAATCTAGGAAAGGCTCGGAAAATAAAAAGAAAATAGCGAAAATAAGACAATTTGATGAAAATATGTGAAACGTAATCTTGTTTTATTAAAGAGTACGTTTGAACATTTTATCAGAAATCAAGAAAGTGACTCATCAGACTTTATACTTTTTTTTTAATCATTGTTGGAAGTTGGTTTATTCAAACTCTTTTTCTGTGGAAGATTCACAACGTTTTAATCGACAGAGCTTATAATATTCTCTAGTTGACGTAGCAGGAAGACTAAACACATACCAATACAGTTTGTCCCAATATTATGGCTAAAACACCAGCAACTATTTTTATTTCAAATTTGACATGTATTTCGACGTCATCTTCAGAGGAAAAATTAAGAAGAGTAATCAAATAAAACGTTGCAAGTTCCAAGCTTTGAGAATGAGGGCAGAATATTCTGAATAATCGAACTTCCATCGAAACAATGATTAATTTAATTCTAGTTGATTTATTTGACCAATTTCGGTACAATGTTGTCTACATTTGTTTTCCTTTTGGAAAGTATAGCGTCATGTGTTATTTTTTTTTTTTTTGTTTCTTTTCTTTTTCATTACTGTTTTGCTCAGTTCGCCAGTTGACATCAGATTGTCGATCCAGCAAAAACGAAATCTAACTGCCTGGCTGTAAAACATTTATTCTAATATTTATAAGTATATATTCAATAATAGACTGAATTCATAAAAGGAGAAACTTTCGCTCGTCTACAATACAACATTATGTGGGTTTTCTCCAATAAGAAACTCCAACCCCACAGTCAAATCACAAGAAGCGAAAAAAAAATGTCTGTGCATGAAGGATTATTATCTTTTTTTTCCATAATGTTCACGTAATATTACGTAAATGTTTGGGTTTTCTAAAAAGTGATAAGAAACATTTTTTCGTTTCTTGCTACAGTTTCTGTTTTTTGTGAATTCATTTTTTTTATTGTTATTTTCATTATTTTTCCGAACACTTTTTAAAAAAATTGTCTGTTCCCATTTTCTAGCGTTCAGTATCCGCCATAAAGGGAATACTTTTTTTATATATTTTTTTGATTGATTGTTTATAAACATATTTAAATAAAATCCTCCATTTTGTCCGTTTTGCTATATATATATATATATATATATATATATATATATATATATATATATATATATATATATATATATATATATATATATATATATTATGTTTATGCACATGTTTTCACATATGCACCACAGTCTTCTGAATTTATTGAAATTTCTATCTCCTTGCAAAAATTTTTTGCGACACAAACGTCCAGGATTTCAGCAGAGGTGACAAACAGACGTCAGATGATTAGAATAATGGTAATAACTATATATTTTTTTCATTCTTTAATATCTTTTTCTTCCCATTCAACTTTCTTCGCTTTTTTTCTGTTTTTAAATCCTTGCTCCATTTTTTCGTCTTCATTATTGTTGTCGAGGATGAATGTGGATGATATATGTTCAACCACTGGCATCTAAAAAAGAGATGATCACGTGACATGTCGCTCATTCTTTTTTCTCTCTAGGTAGTCATCTTCCTCAAAACGATAGCCAGTGTTTTTTCTGTAAAATAAGAGACAGAGAGAGAGAGAGAGAGAGAGAAAAAAAAAAGAAAAACATTAAATTGACATAAATTAATTTAAATATCTGGAAAGTGTTTTAACAGAAGACGGAAAGTGCGTCACCGAAATCCGAACGTGCATTAGGATATCGAAACATGCCTTCCAAAAGCTAAGCCAAGTATTAAGAAACAGAAAAATTTGTTAGAAACAAAGCGAAGTGTACTGAACTGTTATGTAATAACAATCATCGTATATTGCAGTGAATGCTGGACAATCTCTTCACAAATGAAGAAGAGGCTTGAAGCAACAGAAATGTGGTTCTACAGAAGTATGCTGAGAATACCATGGACTGAATATGTGAGCAGCGATGAAGTTTTGGCGACAATAGAAGCAAAACGACATTTTTATTTAACATCAGAAAGAGGCAGTTGAAATTTCTAGGCTGCATAATGGCGAAAGATGGCTTGGAAAATTTTATACTTGGCACATTGAAGGCAAGAAAGACACAGGAAGACAACGCATAACCTACCTAGAGCGCTTAAGTAAATGGATGGCAGACCAAAGTTTAGGGGAGATAACAAAATGTCAAAATTTATTAAGAACTACAAAGAAACAGGAAACACGGCACACAGAAGAAGAAATTTCATGAAAGATACGCTGTTTACTCTTCCTTATTTACCATTAGACGTGATTTAATATTTTACTGGTAGCAGCCGAGAAAATTTCAAAGTTTTCCTATTTGAATTATCTGATAAATCCCTTCTTGAGTTAGTGAACGAATAAAGCTCCTCCTGAGTTCCACAACTATAAAATGCCCTTGGAATTTCTCCTATTGCCTCGTTAAATATTTGGGCTTAACAACTTTAACAAAATGTTACAATAACAATCATAAATATGAATGCAGATCTTTATTTAAAGTAATCAGGTACAAATATGTTATATAGGAATAAAGTGTCGCTGCCGACACTTGAGTTTGAACATAGATCGTCAGTGAGCAAACACAGGCGATCCCATTATTGAATTAAGTAGACCACGTGACCATAGAGGAAACGCATATATGGGCGGTAGCTATTTCTAGTCTATCCTTTATTACTATACGGACAGCTATTCTCTACTCTATTTACTATACTATTTCTCTATACTGATCACTATACAGGTTACTGTTCGAGCGAGTATTATCGAGCAAGTACAATTAGTGCGAGTGTTATTCGAAGGCGTCTGACACCAGTATTGTTCAACGGCGTTACTATAGTTGTATCTGCGATTACAAAGTCTCTACTGCAACGAGTATTACAAAAGTATTCGTTGGCATCACAAAAGTTGCAACGAGTGGTCGTTAACATCACAAAAAAATATAAAATTCAAAACTGACAAGGTTTTCCATTTCACATCAGTAGACGTTAGACGCATGAGAGTGTTATCCCCACTTTTTTTTTTTTTTCTATTTTTTTCTTTTTATTCCCTATCTTAACATTAAAAGGCGTATCTAATAAATTTTTCCTTCCGTGTTCCCTCGCAATTTTTGCCGGAAAAGTTGAAACTTTAATGATTTTTTCTCTCCTGATTACCCATTTTATTTAACTCTCTTCCTAATGTTTTTTTTTATTTATATGATACTTTGGTTTATGTCAGGTATATTAATTCTCTTATCTTTTTCTCTTGTTTTATTGCACGCTGTATATCGTCAAATTTCCTTTATATCTGTAATCTTTTGCAATTGAGACCACTCCTTTTCTGTTTATTCTATTTTTATGTTATATGATTTACTTATGTCTAACTGATATGGTATTTGTTTGATTTATTTAATAATATAGATTTTATATTATTATTTCCAGCCTACTTAGGTTTATTTAAAAAGTGATTTTTCCATATTTCTCCCTTTTTTAATTTAATTAAAAAGATTTTTTTAAAGAGTTATTTTTCTATATTTCATATCCTATAGGAATATTTTTTTTTTAATTTTTTCTCCATATATTTTTATATTTTTTATTCTTTATTTTTTGAAATTTGATATGTTATGTGCATTCAAGTATATTGATGATTTAAATTTATTTTTATTTACCTGTTTCATAGGTAGCTGTTTTTTGTATTTTTAGTTTTTGTCCTAAGTTATTTGTTATTGATGTTTCCTTGTGTAAAAGCCCTCTTTTTATCTTTTATCTATTTTAATTTGTAATTTAATCTATATCTAATCTGTATAATCTATTATAATTTAATATATAACTATTCATTTAATATAGATGATTCTTTCTAATCTTTTATATTTTAATCTATAATTAATCTATATAATCTTTAAATTTAATCTAAATTTTTATCTATAATTTTAACTATTATTAATCTATTTAGATTTTTTTCTCCTATATTGTAAATTTTAGGGGGTTATTACTTATCTATTTATTTTAATTCTTCTTTTATTTAATTATTAATTTTAATATTTAGGTTTTTCTTTTTTATATACTAATAATGTCTTAATATTTTATTATAATATTAAATTCCTTTTTATAATATTAAATTCTAATATTTCTTTAATCTACAACCTTAAAAACTCCTTAATTTTAATGATTGTAAGTCTTTATGCAATTTTTTCCTATTTCTTCAAATAAATAACTTCCTTTCCCCCATTTCTTTGAGTCCTCTTTTGAATTAACGCTGTGAACGTTAGAGTTTATATATTTTCGTTCTCATTGCATCGGATATATATATATATATATATATATATATATATATATATATATATATATATATAAGTATTTTGTATGAATATATATGTATTTTTATGCATATAAATATATTTTAATATATTTTATGCTTATACACCATTTTTATACATAGAAATATTTGAGTAAACGCTCTGTTTATAATAAAAAAGCAGCATAACTTTTTGTTATAAATTTTGTTTATAATAAAAAATATATTAAAAGAATTGTCGGACTATATTTAAAAATATATTAAAATAATTGTCCATTTCATAATATATAAATTTATATATATATGTGTTTGTGTGTGTACATTAATATATGCGTGTGTATGTATTTATATGTGTGTGTGTTTTGCAGTAACGTTCACTGTACAAGGCCCGGGGACCACTCGATGTAGAGGGTTACATTAAGGGGTAGTTTGAATGGATAGGAGGGGAAAATAACAGTTGACACTCGACTTGAACGGGTTAATGTTGTAGTGATCGGAGAAACATCTTCTTGGGAGTTTGTTCCACAGGGTAGTAGTTCGTGGGAAGAAGCTGTTTGAGTGGAACTTATTTCTCACCGACGGAATACGGAGGGAATGTGGCTGGTTAGCTACTATGTAAGTGGCATGGCGGGTTTTAACCGTGAAGATGAAACCTGGCGAAACCAGAAAGTGCAGTTCATCTAGGCACTTTCCATGGTAATAGTAGCCTTAGAGCAGTGAGAGACTCACCACATCCCACATTGGGGGTGGGGAGTGAGAGAGAGAGAGAGAGAGAGAGAGAGAGAGAGAGAGAGGTAGGACTGTGGAAAATAATTCTTCTCCAAGAAGGACTCGTTTTTGAACTTTATCAAGACTGGAAAATGAGGTCTAGGCAGCGCCGGCACAAATATGGCAACAGTATCCCATTTTCGGCCTGATCTACCTCTTATAAAGGTAGAGGATAGAGCCAGAGCGTTACAGATTACCGATAATTTTACGTGTATATATATATATATATATATATATACGTGTGTGTGTGTGTAAAAAAATATATATATATATGTATATATATGCGTGTACATGTATGTAAATATATGTTTATATGCAGGAATATATATGTGAGTATATGTATGTATATATATGTATATATCTGCATGTATACATAGGTGTGCATCTATATATTTATGTGTGTGTACGTGTATACATATGTGTGTGTATTTATATATATATATGTCTGTATACATATGTGTGTGTACTTATATATATGTATTTGTATACATATGTGTATATATGCATGTATATATGTATATGTATGTATATATATGTGTGCGTTAATACATATGGATGTATACATATATATATATGTATATATATATACATTTTATCTATATATATATATGTATATATATATATACATTTATATATATAATATGTATATATATATACATTTTATATATATAATATGTATATATATATATATATACACACATTTTTATATATATATATATACATATATATATATATATATATATATATATATATATATATATATATAATATGTATATATATACATTTTTCGTTTTTTAGTGGTTAAAGAATATAGAAAATGTCCATAGTTATAATTGTTCCGAGAGCTTTCATCTATTATTATCAAGTATGTTGTTTTTGGATGGTGAACTTTCGTGTGTTAATTTCTACATAGTAGTTTAGCTTTGTGGAGTATTTGCGCAGGCATAGGGTAGCTGTTTTGGTGGTTACGTGCTATCCGCGACTGGTTGACCTGGGCGTTATTTTTATTTTTAGAAATCTTTTAACATGGTGTCTCTACTACTAAACTGCGTAAGACTGATAGCAGCCGAACTGTATTTAATCAGCAAAGATTCTCTGATATGTTGTCTCGGCCTTATTGATTTGAAAAGAATTTTTCTGAAATGTTCTTGTAAATTATGAGTTAATAAATATTTACTAATTACACTCTGCTTTGAAAGGTGACTTGTAAGACGTCTACTTAAGGAGGTAGTGGTGTTTCCGATACAGGTAATTGATTTTTTACAGATAACACAGTCATGTACTGGGAATTGAAATTGGTACACTATATTGGTCACCATTTGTTTAGATTTGGTGGGGTTGTTTTGGTCGGCGACGACAAGATTTGCGGACTTCCATTTTCTGTAATATATTATGAACTTTATATGTTTTTCACGGGTTACAGCAGAAATATGGCGTTTAATGATTTTCCTTATAGCAAATTCGTCCTGCTTATAATTATTGTGCACCTCGTTGCAATAAAATACAGTGCCACGCAAAGAAAATCCGATATTTACTAATTCAAAAGTTTACAACACATTTTTTTTTTATTACAACAGCTTTTTTTTTTTTAAAAAAGTGTTCAAATTTTACAAGCATTTTCTAAATTAGGATGGTATTGTTTTTTAGAACGTTCCAGATTAATTTTATGATTACATTTAGGAATGATTATAAGTATTGTGTCATTTTTTTCTGTCAACCGTCCTTTAAACTCTGGCAAAATAGGGAAAGGCAAAATAATTAATAAGGACCTCCGTAAACGTATTGCTGACCTTCATACAAATAGACTTGGTTATAGGATGATATCTAGTCAGTCAAATGTGCCATTTAATTTAGTTGGTATCATAGTTCGTCACTGGAAGACGTATCATTCTATTCGTCCCAAAAAGCTGTGGTCGTCCTAGAAAGGTAACGGAACGTACGGCGAGATGATTGGCGAGAAAATTTGTCAACGGGTCTCGAGTTAGACTTAAAGAACTTCAGGGAGGATTAGAAGTAAGTGGAGTAAATGTAAAGTAAGGATACAGTTCGTCGTTCACTTCGTCGATATGACATCTTTTCGAGGACTCCAAAGAAAAAAAAAAAACACTTTTTAAGCGAAAATACGTTTTTGTTAGAATGGATTTTGCACACGAGCATTGTATCAAACCTACAGCATTTTGAAAAAAAAGTACTTCGGTCAAAGGAAACAAAAATTGAACTTTTTGGCAGAAATGCTGTGACAAAAGTCTGGAGATAGATGGGTGCTGAAATTTCGCCGAAGAATACTATCCCAACAGTAAAAATTTAGAGGCGGATCGATCATGATACGTGGTGGTTTTAGTGCCTAAGGTGTAGGGAACATTGAAATAATAGAAGGAAGGATGAATGGAGCATATTATAGGGATATTTTGGAGAAAAATTTACATCAGAGTGCACATTCGCTGGACTTGAAACTAGATTGAGTATTTCAACAAGACAACGATCCTAAACATACTGTAAAGCTTACAAAATTATGGTTAAGTTCAAATAGCATAGACATTGTAAAAGTCAATCTCTAGATCTCAATCCGACTGAAAATTTATGAAGAGAGCTGAAGCCGAGAATTCAAAGAAGAAACCCGCAAAACCTGCATTAACTGAAGGAATTTTGTCGTGAATAATGTAAGAAACATGAAATAAATTCGTAGGGGACAACAACTCTAAACGCCTACATGCTGTAATTAGCAATAACGGTTACAATACGAAATATTAATAGATGATTTAGTAAACGTATTGTAAACTTTTGCGTTATTAAATATTGGTTATTTTTCATAGGATATTTTTAGTAATTATTCTTTAAATTTGTTTGATTAAAGGCTTAAACATGATTTATTAGCAGTAAATGATTCATTAATCTGTTTTAGAAAGACCCACAGAAACATTGTTTTGTAATGTACTGTAAACTTTTGCGTGGCACTGTATGTTGATGTTTGTGGAGTTGTATTTTTGTTACTGACGTTGTGTATTTTTTTTTTTGTCAGAATAATTTTATTTGCTTATCAATGACGTAGATGAGAAAATTATTGTTGACCAGTGTTAGCTAGATGTGTTTCAGTTCGTTTAGAAATATTTTTTGCTGGGAAGAGGAATTTTGATATGCTCTATTTACGAAGTTTGTATCATTGCTATTTGTGGAAAGACAACTAATAAAAGCCAGAGAGAGTATAGTGCAGCTTAAAACCGAAATATATAGGGTACTGGAGCAGCAGATCGTTATTCAAACATATATTGTGAAATATAACAGACAATGAATGGCCATTACGTTCAATCATGGGCCGTTCTAAAGTTCGTATATTTGCTTTAAATATTTATTTCTGCCGAAATTAAATCAAATATACGAAGTTTAGAACAGCTCATGATCAAGCATAATAGACATTCATGGTATATTATAGTCTGGGTTCTATAGCCTTGGATGGCAACTAGTCTAGGAGAAGGACAACTCTGAATTCAAAACCTGCGGAGGGTTGTTTGTGGACCGTGTGCACCAGGTCTCTGTATTCAGCCCTTCAAAAAGTGTGGATAGTTCTGCAAAAAGTCTTCACCACTATAATCAAATCATATGTGCTAGTGTTTGGGCTGCTAGTTCCTAGGAACTGAGCTGCTTGACCCTCATACGTCGATTACGACGGGAGAGTCCACCATATATATACGTGTGTGTTTATGTATGTGTGCATGTGTGTATATATGTGTGTTTGTATATATATGCATATGTGTGTGTGTATTTATATGTGTGTGTGTTTGGGCACTTCGACGTGGTGTAATGGTTAGCAGGCTTGTCTTGCTAGATTAATTACGACTGAGTAGTGAGTTCGATCCTCACTGGGTGCCGCATACTTTCGGCCCTGTGCCACATCTAAGCCGGGCTTAGAAAATCACTGGGCACCTCAAGGTGGTGTAATGGTTAACAAGCTTGTCTCGCTTGAACAATTACGACTGAGTAGTGAGTTCGATTCTCGCTGGGTGCCCCCTAATTTCGGCCTTGTGCCACATCTAAGCTGTGCTTGGAAAATCACTGTATATATATATATATATATATATGTGTGTGTGTGTGTGTGTGCAATAAAATTTTGAAAGAAAAGTCTGAAATGAAAATGTTCAAACCTTACCTCGAATCTTTTGACGCATTTTCTCTGACGTATATCTTCGTGTTCCCAAACTGGTGATATGCTGAGAGCAATTTTCTAGTAAATGCAAAGAGAATATTTTACTTTACAGCCAATGATCAACAACAACAGCAACAACAACAACAACAGACCCACACATATAAGTCTACGTTTCAGAACAATCCAACACACATTTGACAACTTGGCCATGTCTCTGACTAGACATAAAACTTAAGAAATAACTACTTACATTTGATAGCTAACACAAGTGTCGGATCAAACATATTATAAAAGGAAGGTTTACAGTAAAACAATAGTGAGAAAACTTGTCTGGCAGACCACTGTTACTGTAGATTACTTGCGCCTATCTTTTGTAGCCTGGTTCAATTCGTAATTGAATGGCAGCGTACGTCCTTTCCGAGTTTTTATTACTGCAAGCAGCCATATTTTGTCATTGCTTCTTTCGGTTGAATTTGAGTCTATATTAATTATACATCTGTATTTGAGTGAGTGTATGTTTGTTTGCATGTAAGAATTTTGACGAACGCATCTTCCAAAGGGACATAACCGAAAAATAACACTAGTTGCTTATTAAGGAATTTGAAACAGCATCGTCAACATTTTACTTCTCCGCCATATATATATATATATATATATATATATATATATATATATATATATATATATATTAGGGTTGTGAATTTTAAAAAAATTTGTAAAATATTTGTTTCCTTTATTATAATTAGATGATCTTTTTTTTTAAAAAAAAAGTAATGAAGATGGATTTATTTCAGTTTATTTTTTAAAAAGTAACCATAAGACGAAATTTCTTAAATCGTATATAAGTATAGTAATACTATGACTTTCTGGAACCTTCTAGAACTTGTTTTTGTCTATTTGTAAGTTTGTATGTTATGCTATAGCTATAAACTGTTAAATGCGTTAAAAATACATTATTACTGTTCAAGTACATGATTAATAAATTGAAAAATAAAGCTTCTGGAATATTTTAATTTTTTTACCCTATACACTATAGGGTAAAATAGAAATTTAAAAAATTCCGTGTTGGGGGTGACATTTTTCAAAAACTAAAACAAATTAATGCCTTTTTCATAACTTTTGTTTGAACAAATCTTCATTGATTTTTGGCACAGGAACATATGATTACAAAAATTAATAACTCTAATACACACACACACACACACACACACACACACACATATATATATATATATATGTATGTGTGTGTGTGTATAAATAAAAAGAAAGAACAGTAAGATATATAATCCTGTGTTTTTATAGATATTTTATTTTTACAAAATAGTGCTCAATGTAAATTTACAGAGCATTAATATTATAAATTAATTGAGTTAAAATATATTATATATATATATATATATATATATATATATATATATATATATATATATATATATATCAAGTATGCGGTGCAGTTCAATTTACATTACATGAATCATTCATATCTGTTTTTTGTATGAATGATTCATATAATATATATATATGATTAATAGAAAAATGAAATGTGATTTTATGTTCAGCACCTCGACTCCAGACGAAGATTTTTGTAATCGTTCCGCCCACTCGTCAGGAGGTATCAGCAATATTATATATATATATATATATATATATATATATATATATAGATAGATAGATAGATAGATAAACATGTATATATATATATATATATAAAGAGATAGAGTGATTTACATATATATATAGAGAGAGATAGATAGATATATATATAGAGAGAGATAGAGAAATATATATATATATATATATATATAAAGAGAGACATATAGAGTGATATATATATATATATATATATATATATATATATATATATATAGATAGATAGATAGATAGATAGTAAATCATTTGCATGAGAGAACGGTAAACGGTGTTACTCTTAATGTGTCTCCATGTTCTGAACGTCTATTTAGTTCAAAATTCACTCTAGACCTCATGGAACTCAAATACGAACCAAAGATTACCAAAGATACTGACAAAAAATGATCAGCTTATTTTATCATTCCATGGAGTACTTGACTCCTTCTGTCATACTTTATCGTCATCAGAGTCAGATTAGACCAAAAAGGCAAAACTCCTACCATATCTGGTCTTGGGCTACTTAATTTTCACTTTCCGGACTTTACAGAGTTCAAAATCGTTTCCGCCTTCTTATGGAAGGAGACTTCTCCATTCTGCAGCTTCTTTTCGACAGGTGCAACACAGCACTATCGGTATTCGCATTTCAAATATTCAGACGTGCTATATTCTTTACTTCCACCAATTCAGACCTTTACAGCTAGGGCACAACATACCACTCCACAAAGTCGAATCACCCTAATTCTTCTTTGTTCCAAATCTAAGAAAAAGTTCCACATAGACAGCTTAGCACCCCCCTCGATGAACTGCTAATTTTTAGATCAGGCTGCCGCGTGTATGATTCCGTTAACACTACAATCTTAACGCATTTGTCAGGAGTCAATCGTTATCTATCCTCCTTATCCTCATAATTTTCATTTCTTACCCCACCTCTTTATTCGCATTTACATCACCCACCTTATTTACCTTTTAAAAAAAATGGCTCTAGAGTCTTCGATTGGGTGAACATTAAAAGAAAAATTCCAATCGTAAAGCAATGTTCCGTGTGCTCTTCTAGAAGACCATTGTCTTCAAGTTCGATTCTAACTAGATGCTTCAAGAAATTCTCCTTGCAAATGTTGCCTTTATTAAATAGATATAAAGAGCGTAGGTGCCTCTTGGTGCAATAGTTATCAAGCTGGTCTCACCGATTATATTTTACTGAATAGTGAGTTCGATCCTTACCGGGTAACTCAGACAATAATCTAAGCTTTTGGTTTAGTTAAATATAAAAAAAAAAAACGCCTGACATCGCTACCGAAATTGGTTTACATTCCTTACCATATGTAACAAGAGGGAATAAGCACAGTGTGTCATAGCTCTTTAGGTAGAACCTTAATTACATCTTATGCTGATGATAAATCCATCATGAGAATCTTAAGTCTGATAGTCGTAGGGTCACTACTTCAGGAGGAGTCAGGTACTTTCTAGAGCGCTACTATAAACCGACGGCTTAAGCAGAGGATTTAATAGACGAGTTTTCCTTGAGTTTTGGTGTGAGCTTGAGTCCCGATAGACGTTGCAGGCAAGGAGCTTCATCACTACAGGAGAAAACTTAGGCTCTAATCTGTTACTTGGCTTTGGAAGTATTGCATGTTACAAGCCAGTTCATACCGCCTCCTGTTGAACTATGCGAGCAGAACTATGCGATCAGAAGAGAGATCAGCTGCCAGTCTTTGGTCAACTAAACTTTTAGTGGTGCTCCCATAAAACGTGGTCTCATCTGCAGATATATTCACTCGTGATCTGAGAATGTTTTGTTGGCAGATCGACGTCAGTATAATCTGAATTAAGAATTTTTCTTCTTTCTCTTAGACTTATTGCTATCCATCGTTAGAGAACCCATTTATTATATTATTTAACCTATAGCTGGAAGGAATACCGATTCCATATTTTGCGCCGATATCCGTCATGCCACTCACATCATTTCAAGAGAGAATAAAGATTTAGTAGTATTAATTTTCTAAGCGTTACTTAGATGTGGCACAAGCCGTAAGTATGAAACACACAGTGAGGACAAGCTTGCTAACCATTACACCATATTGAAGTGCTCTTGATCCAGTTCGTATAGCGATTTAATAAGTGTAGCTTAGATATGACACAAGGCCACAAGTATAGAGCACCCAGTGAGGACCGAACTCATTACTCAGTCGTAATTGATATAACAAGGCAAGCTTACTAATCATTGCACCACGTTTAAGTGTTCTAAAGATTTAATATTATGCTAGTTCAACTCACGAGAATTTATAGAATTGTAAAGCCTTCCAAATGCTAAGAAAGGTTTTGAGAATCGAAAAAAAAATCATTAGAATCAAAGAAAAGAACACTGAATTGCTATGTGGTATCTATCCTCTTATATGGCAGTGAATGCTGGACAGTCTCCCCATGAATCAAGAAAAAAAAACTGGATGCAGCAGAACTGTGGTTCTACAGAAGGATACTGAGAATTCCATGGACGGAGGGGATAAGCAACAAAGAAGTCTTACAGGAAATGGCAGCAGAAAGAACACCTATATTCAGAATCAGGAAAAGACAGCTGAAGTTATTAGGACGCATAATGAGGAAAGAAAGCTTGGGAAACTTAACCCTCACGGGGCATACTGAATGCAAGAGAAATATGGAGAAGGCAGAGAGTCACTTTCCTGACAAGCTTGTGTGGATGGATGGTGGAACAGGGGTTGGCGGGAGCTTTAGCAAAGGCAGAAAAAATGCTAAGGGCCATATGGGATAGGAGGTTGTGGAGAGCCATGATCACCTATGTCCTGAAGAAGAAGAAACGTCATGGTAACACGGAAAAGGCTCGTCTAACGAAAAGAAAATTAAAATAAAAGCATGATAAAAATAAAGACGAAAAAAAACAAACAAAAACAAAACGTTCTCATCTGAAAGTTTCGCATATTCATGGATCTTACCTCTCTTAATGTTCCTTTTATTTTACAAATTTGTTGAATCGCCATACCAGGAATGAACGCCATGGATGCAGCAGCAATAAGCCAACCAATCACGTTGGCGAACGTCGGGTAAATATAGCGTTTGTCGGAGCTGTTATACTCAAGAGGTTCGTATGTAACAATACTAGAGATTACAATCATCTGTGAACAGAAAATTAAACAGAAAAATAAGCAGTTACGATCTACTGTGTTTGAGAAATAGGCCTTTTCTTCATTTTATTTTATTTTTTCCTTATTTCTATCAGTTAATCTCTCCAGATCACGAATATAATAATTTTAAAATTTTCTAAATTTGAAGAAAGGGGGTTCAGTTTGATATGTAAATTCATTGTAAATTGATCTCCCCTACGCAAGCCAAAAAATAAAACGAATAAAATAAAATAATAAAATAAAAGCTAAGGTAAATAATAATAATTATTATAACTTCTCTTCATGGTCAATACTTTGCCCGTAGCAAACATGCTGATGTAGACAACCCCCATACCCATTAGTGGTTATATAGTGCAGGGTGAAAAGCTGAAACCGAATGTACAGGACCAATTCTTGGTAACCAGAATGTACAGGACCAATTCTTGGTAACCAGAAATTACCAAGTACACATAGTGAAAAATTGTGTTACTTTGAAATGCAGATTCTCTGATAAATATCCAGAAACAATTGACCATCTTGTATCAGGTTGCACAGTGTTATCACCTACTGAATATAAAACTCGGCATGATAGAGTTGGTCAGTATCTGCACTGGAAAATATGCAACTTCTTTGGGAAGGGAACTGCAAGAAACTGGCATGAAAATCACCCAAACCCGGTTAGAGATAGGACCTGTAACAATTTTAATTTTTATTTTATTATACACACGAAAAAAAAAACAATCAAAGCTAATTACCAAGACATCGTGACCAAAGGGCGCAAGAACAGATGTGCTTTCTTATTGACATGGCAAACACTGCAGAGTGTAATGTATCTTTGGAGATCAAAAAACTATGAAAAAAAAGGACATCAATAATTCCAGTTGTAGCTGGAGTCCTCGAATTGCTTGGAAAAGGTTCCAATAGACTCAATGGAGATCACATATCTTAGTGAAATACAAAAAAAATGTACTCACAAGTACAGCTCACATATTACGAAGGGCTTTACCTATGTAACATGTATGCGATCTTAAGGTTTGTGAGGTTTTTTGGTTTTTTTACAAAAATGATCAGTGGAAAATGTCATGACGCCATTTCTGACCTTAGGTCTCTGATTGGGACACGGAAGGAAACGTGTATACAACAGAAACCCAAGGAAATAATAATAATAATAATAATAATAATTTGATGAAGCTGTTAGCTACATAGTATCAGGGTGCCTAGTCATTGCTGAAAAAGAATACATTATTAGATATGACAGGCTAGGACAATAAATTCATTGGTATGTTTTTTCGAACTATAGTATTGAAGTCTCGGATACATTATACAAACACCACCTGAATGATGTCACAAATGGTGATGGAGTAATTTTACAATCCTCACAGACAGGAATAGTGATGCAAATAGACCAGACATAGTCATCAAAGATTTCAAAAAAGGGATCTGACAAATAATTGATATGACTTTCGCATAGAATTCCAATATTTCTAAGAAAAAAAAATGAATTCCAAAAACTGTCAAACTATAAGGACAGCAAATAACAAACATGTGGAAACTTAAAACTACGATTATCCCTGTGCGATAGGAGCATTGGATATGATAAAGAATGGTACCGAAAATCATATGAACAAAATTAAAAAATATAAAAGATTACTTTGTGCGGAACTGCACATATCATCCGCAAAAAAAAACCTTCTCCATCTAAACAAAACGTCCCCAATGTGCACAGATAACTCTCCCTAAGTGCACTTTTGACTCATAACCACGGAGGGGACTTGGTAATTAGGCACTTAAAATTATATTATGACAATATTATACTACTACTACTACTACTACTACTACTAATAATAATAATAATAATAATAATGGGAAAAGGTAATTAAGAATTTGCTTTAAATTCATATATTGTGGCTCCGTTGAAGATTATTGAAAATGTAAGTTAACTATTATATTAAGTTTTATCAATGTGGTATGAACATTGCAATAAATTTGCATATTAAATTGAACCACCTCCGTCTGAAAATTTAGAAATAAAAAACAAACAAGCTTATATTCTTGATGTGGATTGCTTTTCCGATAGGAAGATGCAAGAAAAAAAAAAGGAAAGAAAAACATGATTATTTCTTGGAGAGGTGGGCTTCTGTAGAATATATATAGTATATACTTATATATGAACCTTTTGAAATCAAATATTTAGGCAAAAGCTTAATTTGATTTATCAAGTAAAAATAAAATAAATATTCTTAATTTTCAATATTAAATTGAACAATAAACTTACCGTACACAACATATTCACATTATAATTATTTTGTAGAATTATAACAACCATATGTTGTGAAACACATCCTTTTTCTCTTTCTAATAATTTTGAATCATTGAATTATCTTCTCTTCCTAAGTCTGTTGAATTATTGTCTGTTAGCCGAGTTCGAATCCCAGTCGAATACATTACATTCACTTACGTGCTAATACCCCTTTGAAAAGGTATGAATCCTCTTCTAAGCTATGGGTAAATAGCAGGATAGACCGGACTCTATAGCCTTGGATGGCAAAAAAAAAAAAAAAATTGTCTCCTCAAAAGATATATCGAAAGATACATGATCGCTTAAGCGTGTATCACACATGGCACATAACTGACTGAGACTGTATTTTACTGCGACATTTGAACTTAAAAACTAAATCAATGTAAATCTTTGGCTGATAACAGAAATAGAAGTCCCAAAATGACGTAGCAAAATTCTATAAAAAAAATGTTATACAATTTTTATCTACGATTCTATCGTGTAGATCGCATATCCAGCAACTTATGACTTCAAATATATTCACATTAACTTCTTTATAAATTACACAAATCATTTTTTTCTTTAGTAGATTGTTTTGTCTTTCGTAAAATAAAAAGTTTATATGCTGGAAGTGTGTTATGGAGTGGTTTCACAGTGGAGGCTTGTATTTGTACTAAGTCGGTCCTAAAATAGGTTCGACGTACAAAACGTTAGGAACTTCATATAATAGGTAATGACGCAGAGAAATCTAGTTGTGGTCGCTGATACTTTAGTAACCGACTAACGGTCGTCCGGCATCGACTGACTGACCGACCCATTGAGCGATATTCAGTCCCCCACGAGGGCCATTGAGCGATATTCAGGCCGGTTTAACCCACGAGGGTCGGCCCGGGCTCGACCAGTTCAACTGGGCCGGTCGTTTAACTCAGACCTACCCATTAATGATATTCAGTCACCCACCACGACGGCGTCCTGTATATGGGTGCCGGGGAGTCCGTGGGGTCATTGAACCCCATAAATATGCCGCCCAAAGGCAGAGAGTTAACCCCCTTTTAACCACTGAGCGATATTTAGTCACCCCCCCACGAGGGCATCATGTGGCACAAGGCCGGTTTAACGTGGGATCTCCGAGCCCGTGGGCTCGGCCCTTTGAACCCGTATAAACGGGTTCAGGGTCGGTTTACCTCCCGAAAGAGACTCCGCCATTCGGCGTAGCCTCGTTCGGGTTCCTCCCCGCCCAAAGGCAGAGAGTTCAACCGATCAGCCGGTCGTCCGACTTCAGACTAAACTCAGACCGACCCATTGAGGATATTCAGTCACCCCACCACTGGGGCGTCATGTGACACAAGGCCTGTTTTTTAACGTGGGATCTCCGAGCCCGTGGACTCGGCCCAAAAATATAAACATTGAACCCGTATAAACGGGTTCAGGGTCGGTTTACCTCCCCGAAAGAGACTCCGCCATTCGGTGTAGCCTCGTTCGGGTTCCTCCCCGCCCAAAGGCAGAGAGTTCAACCGATCAGCCGGTCAGCCGGTCGTCCGACTTCAGACTGAACTCAGACCAACTCACTGGGCGATATTTAGTCAGCCCCACACGAGGGCATCATGTGGCACAAGGCCGGTTTAACGTGGGATCTCCGAGCACGTGGGCTCGGCCAAAGATGTGCCCATTGAACCCGTATAAACAGGTTCAGGGTCGGTTTACCTCCCCGAAAGAGACTCCGCCCTTCGTCGTAGCCTCTTTCGGGTTCCTCCCCGCCCGAAGGCGAGGGTTCAACCGGTCAGCCCGTCGTCCAACTTCAGAATGAACTCAGACCGACCCATTGAGGATATTCAGTCACCCCACCACTGGGGCGTCATGTGACACAAGGCCCATTTTTTTAACGTGGGATCTCCGAGCCCGTGGACTCGGCCTAAAAATATATCCATTGAACCCGTATAAACGGGTTCAGGGTCGGTTTACCTCCCGGAAAGAGACTCCGCCATTTGGCGTAGCCTCGTTCGGTTTTCTCCCCGCCCGAAGGCAGAGAGTTTAACCGGTCAGCCGGTCGTCCAACTTCAGACTGAACTCGGGCCAACTCACTGATCGACTGCGCGACTCTTAATACTCCTACTTATTATTAATGGGAGAGTCTATTAACTATAGAATTGGTGTGTTCCACTATAACAAAATGTTACTTATTTTCTCTCATCTTCAATACTAGAAGTAATAAACAAAACTACGTAAATTATTACAATATTTTAAACGTATGTTGACGTGACAGCTGTTAGGATAAAATCAAAAGCGATATTTTTCAATAAATTTAATCAAAACTAGATTCTAATAATGCTACCTAACCAAATTTTTGACCTGACCTGATATGACACGCGTAACTCATCAGCGTCGTAGGGGTGACACATGTATTGTAGTCAAAGGGGCAGTGGTGTATCTAGGTCAAGATAATCTTACGGTGCCAATTCCTCAAATAAGAAATTATACTGGTTTTAAATTCGGAGTTTTTCTTCTTTTTTTTTTAGACTGGATGCCACCCTAAAGAAAGCGAATCCAATCAGCTCTGCTATTTAACCCATAGCTTGGGTGGGAAGAAGACTGTTTCATATCTTTCGAAAGAGTACTCGTGTGAAAGTGAACGTAACAAACTCGGCTGTAATTCGAACTTGACTCGCTAACCACACAGTCTAATGATATATATTCTTTAGGTGTAAACCGAATAGGGACTTACCATTAATAAAACAGGTGTAACAAATTTCCAGCAGATTCTCCAGTAGAGACCTGGACGGAATCCTAACATGAGCTCAATGTCATCACAAAACTGTTGGACGCCTTAAAATAAGATAAATAAGATAAGAACTGATTATTTATTAAAAGTTGTATACAACTCAAGAAATTTATTTTAAGGAATGATGTTAAAACAAAACAACGTTGGATAATATCTTAGCTATTTTTTTCACGTGCACGCATGCGTGAACGCTATTAATGTTTCTGTTATAACTTGCTTTCTACCGTGTGCTTTTCCGATACAGATGCACCGAAAATAGTAATAAAAATCAGATGAAGAAAAAAAAAATGTAACGACATAACATAACATGAAAAGCAGGGATATATAGCTTTTATATTTTGATAGGAAAAACGAAGGGTCGAAGGAAAAATAGGCGAGAAAGAAACGAAAACTCCAACTCACCATAAAACCAACTGACTCCAATTGCCTGGAAAAGCACTGCAACAAGAATAGATGTACCGGCAGCGAATGTGTCCAAGATTTTGAAGACGTACATTCCGCCCTGGAATTAGTTAAATGAAATATTTCTTTCTATAATGGAAGAAGTGCCTATTGTCAATGATCTCTGAAACGAATTTTCCATACGTTAAACACATAAGAGTATTATCACCTCCTCGATGAAAACTCAAAACCTACTCAAAGACAACCTTACGAAAACAAAAATAAAACTCTTTGATTATGGAAGCAACTCAGGTAATGGCAGGGCGTAACCGCCTATATCTTTCCTTTTCTTTCTTCCTTTTTCTTCCTTTCCTTAAACCCAAACAGCACTTTTGATATTTATTTTCTTTCGTCTTTTTTCGCAATAAAAAAGTAATGGTCCATTGTTTAACTGAGGTAATGACAGGACGTAAGGTACGCGCTGACTAAGGGGCAAGCAGAATAGAATAGAACGATATAGTTGATGTATTTCAGCAGCAATTTTTCATTGATGGAAGTCTGAAGACCAACGAAACTTCATTTTGAAAGATTTTTTATCTTTTTTTATACAATTCGGATCATTTCTTTTTGTTTTCCGGAAAAACTTAAGCAGTGTACAATGTTTTCTGAGCGCTTTCAGTTTTCATAAATTATTATCAAAGTGTTTTATTTTTGTTCTGATAAGGGCGTGTCTTTGTGTAAGCACTGTATTTTCATACAGATATTACGGTTTTATGAGATTCTTAAAAATTGGAATAATAGATTTTTTCCAAGTTTATAAAATCACAAATACAAAAACCCTTATTTGAAAGTCTAAATTGTTTCTGTATGATAATTTCCATTCCTAAATTGCCAAAAAATACCTTTGAACATTTTACTGTTAACGTTTTCTCGAAAGAAAAAAAAGAAAAGAAAACAAAAAAAAACAAAACATTAGGTTGTCTGCCGTAAAACAATAGTTACCCTGTTCGTTAGTCGATTTATTCACTAAGATGATGATTTCGATACTTACTGGGTCTATCTAATATAAGCTTAGAAGATATATATAAAGAAACGCGATGAAATGAGAGAGACGCGAGTTTTTCAGGTGGGACAAAACTTGGTCAGAATGACGTTAACAAAAGCGACAAAATCAGAAAAAAATGAGTTATTAAATGAATGCCATACTTCCGGTGGGGACGAAAGGAGTCGCATCGGTTACTTCCGCTTTCTGGCCTTATTATCTCTGATTGTATCCGGTTGAAGCCCGGATGCAACTAAAAATGTGTCTGTTATAAACAACTGTCAGCGTCCTCTTGTGAACTTGAGAAAAATTTTGAGGTGTTCATAGGTCCAAACTTTTAAAAAATATCTATTTATCTATCTGCTTCTTTCTTCCCTTCTTTCTTTCTTGCTATCTATCTATCTATCTATCTATCTATCTATCTATCAGTCTGTTTCTTTCTTTCCTTCTATCTATCTATCTATCTATCTATCTATCTATCTATCTATCTATCTATCTATCAGTCTCTATCTATCTATCTATCTATCTATCTATCTATCTATCACACAGTAGCTGTGAGGTCATTAATTTTACAAACTACTGATAACTTGGTACTTATTGAATACTTTTCAAATTTGGCATGCCTGAGTTACTAGCGCTATTCGTGGATATTTCACGGCTTTCCCATTTTAATTTCCTGATCAAAATATTACAATAAGTACGAAGGCAGGTCTTTATTTAAAGAAGGAATAGGGTACAAATAAAAAGATTAAAAATTGGCAAGCTTTTCCATTTCACTGAAGTAGACATTAAGCGCATGAGAGCAATATTGCTTAATTCCTATTCCCTTTCTTTCTTTCTTTCTTTCTTTCTTTCTTTCTTTCTTTCTTATTGTTATATTCATTTTTCACTAAAACCAAACAGCGTCTCTGATACGTATCTTCCGTTTTTCCTGGTAATAAAAATGTAATGACGCACTATTTATCTGAGGGTGTAACGCACATGCTAACTAATTTACTATCTAGCTAACGGGGGAACGAGCAGAATTATAATATGATGTTACTATTGTGATATTTTTAGCAAGCCATTGACATTAATCATAATCCCTATAAATTTGACCCTGTTCCACAGGTAGCATTGTTTGGAATGTTTAGGAGACATTCCTAAGGTCGCATCTATTTCTACTTGTCAGTAGCTGTGCCTGAAAAAAATGTCGAATTTTACAAAATAAAAACAGTTTAAAATTTCAGCGTCACCTCCCCATTCCTGCGCATGCGTAGTTACATTAACAAAAAAAAAAATCATTTTAGTTCGATGAAGTCCTAAAGGACTAAACTCGTCAGACACAAAAATAGATAGATAGATAGATAGATAGATAGATAGATAGATAGATAGATAGATAGATAGATAGGTAGGTAGGTAGGTAGATAGATAGACAGACAGATCGGTAACGCCGAACAAAACAGGTGAAACTACGAGAATTTAGTCTGTTTAAAGGTGAGCAGATATTTGTCAATAGATTTATATGATTCTGACGAGCAGTTTACATGTAAGACTTGGAGCCGGACACAATAATAATTTTAAAAAAAATTTCTTCATCTGTTCTCTATCTCTCTCTCTCTCTATATATATATATATATATACATATATATTTGTATCTCTCTCTCTTTCTCTCTCTCTTTCTCTCTTTCTCTCTCTCTATATCTATATATATATATATAATTAATAAAAATATGAAATATATCAATTGATTGATGTTATATTCAGCTAGGTAACAAATTTCATATTTATATTAATCCTATTAATACTTTATCTGATATTGAACAATTTATTGCAAAAACTCTTTCCTTAAATGCTCTTTTTCCAGGCTTCTACTAACAGCATTCTTGACTATCGTTGTTATCACTCTCTCTCTCTCTCTCTCTCTCTCGCTTTCTTTTCTTTCTCTCTCTCTCTATATATATATATATATATATATATATATATATATATATATATATATATATATATATATATATATATATATATATATTAAGAAATGACAAGGTCGACAATTTATTTATTAAAGACATTTTTATGTTTAACGTTGTTATTTATAAATTTAGTATTTAAGCAAATGCTCTGTTTATGATAAACAGTATTAAATAACAAAATTTCTCGGACATTCAGGCCGGTAAATGTTATTTAATACTGTTTATCATAAATAGAGCATTTGCTTAAATACTTGTATCTATAAATAACAACGTTAAACATAAAAAATGTCTTTAATAAATAAATATATATATGGGGTGTAATAGATGTAGATACACAGACTTGAAATTTTAGGAATATACAAACGCATAATTTTGATTTTTGTAACCCGATATAATTGAATCAAGATTTCCCAACCCTGCTATTGCAATCCGTCAATTGTCGTATGTCCGTTATAAGACATACAAACATTCCTGGTGTTAATAAAATGTGATCCGCATAAATTTGCAGAAAGAAGCATCGGTTAGTGCGTAAACATCTGTCTTTTGTTATTGTTGTTTTTTAATCGACTCAGTAATTTTTTCTTTTTCGGGCAGAATCATCATTGGCAATTAAAAATGAATTCATCACGAGTAAGAATGTACTCGGATCATTTGTAAACATCTATGCAGATGATTGACTATAAACGGGCGCACCTCCAAAACTCTTGATTGTCAGAGATTGGTGATAGCACTTTCTTCCGATATTACACAAATTACCCAGTGGGGTAAAAACTGATTGGTTACAATTAATGCTTCGAAGACTAAGCTAGTTACATTACATCATTGCCAATCGAACTCTGAACCAATCAGGGTGAACGGATGTCCCCTTGGAAAGGCACCGAGCTTGAAAGTCTATTATTCCTAAAACTCGCACCTGACCTTAAGTGGAACTCGTACACACCATCAATTGCTAAGGACGCAGGCATAATGGTCGGCTCCCCGTACCGTTTCAGTAAGTACCTGAATCCTTCTGTTATCCCCTACCTAAGAGCCAGATCAGGTCAAGAAAAGACTATTCTTGTTATATTTGGGCGGGAGCAGCCCAGACTTCACTCTCCAGGCTTAATAGAGTTCAAAAGCGCCTCCCAGTCCTTGTGGGTGACGAATTATTCTCCAACCTCCGACCACTCCCACAAGTGAGATGTGGCAAGCCTTTCTCTGCTCTCTCACTACTTCCATGGAAAGTGCTCGGACGAAACATATTCCCTGGTCCCGCAAAATACAAAGCTTCATGGCAAACCATCTCCCCACCCCCGTATTCCATCGGTACGTTCCACACTGACAGCTTCTTCCCGCAATCCACTGCTCTGTGGAAACGATTCCAAAGAGGCTGTTTTCCTGACCACTACATTCTTAAACTGTTCATGGCTAGAGTTAAATGTTATCTTCCACTCCTATCCGCACAAATTGTCTCCTAACGAAACCCTCTACCTCGAGTGGCCCTTGGGCCTTCTAAAGAGTGTAAAAAAATCGAAATGAAGAAAATCGTGACTTTATACTGTAACCAGCAGAAATTTGAATGAACAGTTTTTCCTTCGAAAATTTAAAAAGTTTGCTGATTTTTTTCAAAGATAGCGGAATTAGCCTCTATATGTCTGTTAAAATTTTCAAGAACTCTACAAAACGCCAAAGCTATTCTTGTTTACTTTACTTTCATCTATTAGGTTGAGTCATAAGTAATTTCCATGTTAGGGAACCAAGTAATGACGAATGTATCATGCTTATTAACCGTTCCTTCAATATATAATAACAGGTGATGAAAAATATGTTGTATACAACAATGTTCAACGTCGAAGGCAGTGGATTGACAAGGATAAATCTCCACAACCGATCCCAAATGCCGAGCTCTCTGGAAGAAAGCGAATGTTACAGTTATAGTGTTATAGTGAGTGGATCAATGGGAGTATTATTTATAATCCTAAATGCATATTTAACAACAGGAATATGTCCATAAAAGTTTTTATCAAAAAGCGCCGTGCACTTGTCAATAGGAAAAATGTTCTTCTCCTTCACGACAACGCAAAAGTGCATGCAACAAGAATAACAAACAAACACACACACAAACACACACACACACACACACACACACACACACACACACACACACACACATACAAATTGGAACTCGGTTAGTTTGTTCTTCCCCAGTCGGCAAATTAACCTGGCATTGCACCAATTAATTATAACTTTTTTCGGTCGTTACAAAACGCTTTGATGATGAAAACTTTCTATAATGAAAACCAGACTAAGGAGGTTGTAAAAACACTTTTGCACATCAAAACCTGTGAAATTATACTGAAAAGTTAACGAAGAGCTTAGCAACAAGTAAATAATTAGCAACAAGTAAATAATTAGCAACAAGTAAATAATGGTGAATATAAAATTGAATAATGTACTCTCCATTTTTTGAGGTACGAAGTTGAAAAACCAAAACGCAAATTATTTATAACATAACCTCATATTTCTGAAATCATTATTAAAGGAAAATTAATTGTTAATCTATTTTTCTAAAGTTATTCCGGAATTGACGACCAGGCTTATGAGAGCGGTTTGGCACGTTTTGGCCCAGCCGTTTGTGCAGTGGCGTTTTGGCACGGCCATTTGGGCGCTGGTATTTTGGTACAGCTTTTTGGGCACTGGCGTTTTGTGACAGCCGTATGGGTGCTGATGTTTTGGTACAGCTATTAGGGTGCTGCCGTTTTGTCACGGTCATTTGGACACTGGCGTTCTGCCGATTAGTCGCTGGCGTTTTGGCACAGCCGTTGTGGCGCTGGCGTTCTGGCATGGCGGTTTCATGCCCATATGGAAATTAGTAGTTGAGCTGCGTATTATACAGAGAGGTATTATGAAGGCTTACTAGCTGGGCATGAACAACCACAGAAACTATAAAATATAGAAATGCAAATAGAAGAAAACATGAAAATGTTCCTAGATTTGAAAACATGGAGACTATAGAGTACTTGAAGAGCCTTGCTCATAATTACCAAATTAACTAATTAATCCTACATCATAGTTTTTAGTGATTAACAGATATTATTTTTTTATTTTTAATAATGTTACAGTTTTAAAACTTTTTAAAGTTCTACCTTTGTCTAGCGCCCAAATGTCTGGCGCTCAAACGATTGTGTCAAAACGCCAGCACCCCAACGGCTGCGCCCAATCGTCCTATCCCGTTATGTGAAGGTGAGTGTAAGGTATACATCGTACTCAGACCCGGCGTCCCAAAATGCGCAGCATTTTACCTTTCATTGATTTGTAGTAGTCCCTTCTAATACGTCTTGGCTACTTCTACCATAAACGTCCAACTATTTCTTTTTATTATCACAGTTTAACCACCGAAAAAAATGATAGCAGAAATAATATTGTAATGGACGGAACAATAGAAAGAAAAAGTCGTGTGGACATCACCATAACAATTTTTGCTGTTTCCTTCTCGCACAAGCCCCCCAAAAAAAAAAAAAAAAGATAAAGATAAAGGAAAAAAAAAACGCATGATTCCTCAGGTATCGTCTGCAGCTTTGATTTTATTTTTTTTAATATTATTTAAATTCATTTATATAACACTCACCCATATTTGCCGAAAATATATTACCTTTTAGTAAACATTGGAAAAAAAAAGAAAGAAAAAAGTTTTAAAAAAATCAAGTTAAAATTAAATACTTACTGTCGTAACGCAAGGCAAAGAGAAAAGATAGGCTGACCCTACAATGATGAGTGTATATATTTCTCGTGACCATTTGTGGCGGAAAAACTGTCGAAGTTCATCTTTCAGTCCAGTTAGCGGGGATTCTAGGCCACCGAACTGGAAGAGAGAGAAAGAGAGAGAGAGATAAAAATGGCGTCATGTTAGTTATTAACTAAAGCCAAAAAAGTATTGAGTTAATTTTATCTTATTTTATTTTATTATTTTATTAATCCCAACAGTGCAGAGGAATAAATATGAACAGTATAGAAAACGGAAACTGTATTTTACATCGGCGATATTTCTCCATTTTTATATTTGCACCAGTATTTTTGTGTGTATGGTGGAAAGATAGTTGAAAATGTTGTAATTTTTGATGGAGTTTGTTTAGAGAAATTTTAGAAGTGACACTGCACTTTTAAGAAACCAGATTTTCACAAAGAAAAAAACAATATGCAGCAAATAAAAGCAAAGTGGAAAATCATACAAAAAAAAAAAAGAGTAAACATATCAATGAAAATATCCTAACCGCACTGTCCAAACCAAGAGTAAGTAACATGAGGAAGAAGAGAATGGACCAAGCCGTTGATCCGGGTAGAGTGGAGATGGCTTCCGGGTAGACAATAAACACTAATCCAGGACCTGGAAAGAAACGGAATGTAATTAAAGATGGCGTAGTAAACGGACATATTTAAAATTTTTTTAACTCATTTATTCCAAAGCAAGGCGGGAATATCAGTAGTACACAGGAGGTTAGAGAAAATGAAAGTGAGAGAAAAGACTGAGTATAGAGTGGATTGAGGAAAGGATAAAAGATGAACGGGGTTCAAGAAGATAGAAGATGGCGATTGACGTTGCATTTAAATCCCTGAAGTTATCAGGGAAGCAAGTAACGGGAAGGGATGTTCCATAGGCAAGAAACTGTTGGAATAAAAGTGGTGGTTACATTTAACTATTTCAACAGTAAAAGGATGGGACTTAGATGCCAATCTAGTAGCACGCTTAAATTCATGTAATCGAGGTAGCAGGGAAAAAGCTTGTCAGAGCAGTTGCCATGAGAATATGAAGTTAATAGAAGAGAAAAAGTAGAAACAGACATTTAATACAGGAAAAAAAATGTGTTAACGGGCTTCGTTCCTCACTTAAAACTCGATCGAAGATAATAAAATAAAAGTACGCACTGGCTAAAAGAGGAAAACGCCAATAGACTGCATTAGTAATATACTAAGACCGAATATTTATACGCAGATCACATTATGTCCTAGCAGCCATTCCTTTTGTTTACACGGGAAAGGCTACCTAGACTTAATGAAAATGCTCTCAAGTACTTTGAGGTGAAATTCCGAGTGTAATCTACACAAATATCGGAATCTAATTGATGAAAATACAGTTTCCGCGCGTGAACATACATACACATACACACACACACACACGGAGAAAGAGACAGGCGGGAAATAAATAGAGAGCAAAGAAGAAAAATATGCATCGTTTCGGTTAGCAAGGTCGATTTTACTGTTTTTAAACTTAGGATTCTCCATTAAATAGTAAAATCGACCTTTCCAACCGAAACGCTCCTCTGTGGCTCAATCGGTAAAAGCACGTCAGGCTATATGACGGTTCCGTATAGGATACAGGTTCGATTCCTGTCGGAGGACGCATATTTTCTATGAAAATTTCTCGGACATTCAAGCCGGTAAATGTCGTTAATACTGTTTATTATAAACAGAGCATTTACTTAAATATTTGTATCTTACAAAAAACGTATAAACAAAAATGTCTTAAAAATAATTGTTGGACTTTGTCCATTTCATAATATATATATTATTACTTCAAACGTTATTTTTAGTGGATGCCCCGTTTTAATTTATTTTAAAAAGACTGTATTACGTCTACTATATTAAACAGTCTGTATTAGGTCTACTATATGGGAACATGGCCGAGTGATTCGAACGTTCGATCTCACAATGGTCGATTGGTTGGGAAGGTGACTTCTTGATGTTATCGGTCTGAAGGAGGCGATCTCAGCGTCTTCTGGATATTTAAATATTGTCACGTTCTGATTTCTAAATTTGAATTTGTTCGGAGTCTGTGATGAGTGTTTCTTGTATAGCGTATAAATATGACACCTGGGATAAATCAATGGATTTATCTAACTCTGATGACAAGTGGTCCTTGAAACTTTCAAGTCGGTTGAAAAATAAGTCAGTTGAACTTTTATTAATTTATTGACTATGAGATGTGTATAAATTTTTATTTATCAAGAACGGTTTTGGAGGAAAGATGTATGAGGAAGTGGGAAAAAAATTCATGTAATGCGTTTCGTCCTTTAAGATTTCATCGGACTAGGTTTGTTTGATGCAACTACGCGTGCGCACGGACGAGAGACGCTGGGGATTTTAAATTTAAAAAAATAATATATATATACTGTTTACGCGTTATTTTTATGGATGCAACTATTTAAGTAAATGATCTGTTTATAATAAACAGTATTAACTACATTTACCGATCTGAATGTTCGAGAAATTTCGTAGAAAATATGTGTCCTCCGACAGGAATCGAACCTGTAACCTACACGGAACTGTCATTTGTCCTGACGTGCTACACCATTTAGCCATAAAGAAATCATCTGCTAGCAATGTCAATTGACGGTTCCTTGTAGGATACAGGTTCGATCCCTGTTGGACATATTTTCTATGAAATTTCTCGGACATTCAGGCCAGTAGATGTAGTTATTGCTGTTTATTATAAACAGAGCATTTACTTAGATAACTGAATCTATAAAAATAACGTATAAACAGAAAATATATTGAAATAACTGTCGTACTGTCCATAGAGATCAAATGCGTCTCTGCATCCTTGTAGGTGATGAATTATTCCCCCCCCACTACAACCCCTTTCTCACATTACCTGGACGCCACAAGCTTCTCGCTAATCTATCGCTATTCCCATGGAAAGTGTTCAGACGAACTACATTCGTTAGTT